CGTTTGTTTACAAATTATCACAAACCCATAGTATCTGAATTACAATAATAAAGAACAAAAATAAGAAGTTATTCTATAGGGAGCCTTCAATCGGGCCCATTCTTACAACCTCACTCCTTTCGAGTTTCACAGCCTTTGCCATGGTCTGGGTGCGGCAAAGCTCCCTAAGGTCCCATTGGATCCCTGGCCAATACCAGCACCCAAACACTTACAAAATGCAGGACAGGTGCAGTGTGGGATTACCAGCCTTGTGTGTCAAAGTTCAGTGGGCACTCAGAGGCACCCAAAGCAATGCTCACACGAAGGGGGTAGAACCTATCTTCTAAGAGTAGTGTGAAGTGCAGGAAGGAGAGGAGAGTTGATAAAAAAAAGAGTTTACACAGAGTTGGAGGATTGCACACAAGGACAATGAGCAAAGGGGACAAATAGATCACATTAAACGATCACCAAAGGATGCAGAGACTTAATACAAACTTACTAAGCATGGGTACACAAAATCAAAAGAGTCTAAAGAGACTTTGAAATGGTCAGATTTAGAGATAAAGTAAATAATAACAGCATGTAGTCATAACAGGTAGGATTAGGAACAGGCAGTGGTCATGAGCATACGAATATCAATAGGCAAAACAGGAATCAATCACATGTTGCACAGCAGAAGCATAAGTAGAAAACAATTAGGAATAGAACACACTGAAGTAGTAATAACCATGTTAATTTGGAACATGGAATTTAATCAGAACATACCACTAATAAGAGAACACAGCAGAATGCAAGAGCCAAGTATAAGCACAATATTAGCCTTAGTTTTTCAGCTGGCTAATGATAGTCAGGAGTAGGGAACAGAGCAAAAGAGATAAGTAAGACAAGAGAGAGAGCAATGTGTTTGTTTTGTGTATTTGTGATATGCAAGGTATTCGTGTGTTTTTTCAAAAAGAGAATGGGGGGTACTTCTAGTACTGAATACGAGTAAACAAACAAGGTAGCAGTCCCTAATTAAGAAACTGGGATCAATCATAATCAAATCAGTATATGGACTCCCCTTTGATTAAGGAGTCAAAGTCAAACGGTAATAAGCAGTTATTTAAAAGGAAAGAAATCACAAAGCATGGTATGATCACATAAGGAAACAAAATTGCATAAAGTATGCAATAGAGACTAGGTACATGATACTCTAATTAGGGAAATAGGTCACGCAAATCAATCAACATATTTGTGCACACATATAGGGCAAAATACACTTTAATTCTGGATAATAGTTTTCAAAATAATGAACGAGATTGAAAACCTTGGAAATCAGTATTAATCGAGGAAAGTATCCCACAAATTAAGGAAGCAATTTTGAAATCAGTACCAAACCATAAGGAAAATATGTAGAATCACAATATAAGGCAAGTATCACAGTCCAAAGAGGGCATGCAAGAATCAGTATAAAACCACCAATCAGAGAATCCTAAGCGAAGAACGCAGAATGGCAGGGGAATGGAACGCTAGCAACAAAATTAAAGCAAAGAACACGGAACTCAAAGAAGAACTTAGAAGAACACACAATCGAACAAATAATACAAACACAAATATATAAAGCTAGGGTTTCATCAGACTTAAGTAAAAAATGTTTAGAAATAGTACTGAAAATCACGAATTAGTACTCAAAATCAGAAAATAAAGTGATTTTAAAAAGGGATTCAGAAACCCTAGTTTCAAAAAGGGAACAAAATGTTTAAAACTTGAGCAATCGTAAAGATCGAGTAGAGAGTAGTGCAAAACATAAAGGCGTGAGTTAAAAAAATCGTTAAAAATACAGAGATTCAAGAGGTTTGGGTCGAGATTAGGGTTTCATAAGAAACCAGTGAGAAGTAAGAGAAACCTGGCTGTGAAACTCAAGGATAATGGTGTTTATAGCACCATCGAATCAAAACCCATCAGAGAAAGGCTGGAAACAGACCCAGGCAAAGCTTCAGTGACCGTCTTGTAAGGTGGAGACTCATGGGGTCTCAGAGATGGAGGGAACCGGCGAGATAAGGCTTCAAGGTGGCTGGTGGGCGAAAGAGGTGAGGCTGGAGGTGGCCGGAGAGATGGTGAAGGCCATAAGAGGTGAACCAGAAGGTTCTAGAGAGAAGGAGGAGAGGAAGAGACGAAGAGAGAGAGACTGGTCTCGAAAAAATGAGGGGTCAAAGGGGGTTAGATTAGGGGTTAATTAAGGAAAAAGGATCTGGGTCGTTGATCTTGTTCGATCAACGGCTCAGATTAATTCGGAGCTGGGCCGGGTTGGATTAGAGATTGGGCTGGGGCGAATTTAATTGGGTCTTGGGTCAATTGGATTTAATAAAATCTGATAGGGGTGGGGTTAAATTGGGCTAAAATTGAAACAATAAAGGGCTATGTGTTAAATAGCCAATTTCCCCCTTTTATTTTTTATAAAATAGTTAAAATGATTGTAAAAACAAAGGCTAGTGTTTTGAAGTTTGAGGGATCCTTTGATTGGATAACAGTGTTTTTACTCCAAGACAACATACATAGTGCAACTTCATGCTTAGCTAGATTGATCTCATTGCGGCTAGATGGTGATCCTAATTGTTGTACTGTTATGCTTCTACTACCTAGATGTCAGGCGGAACTATGGGAAGAGAAAACCAACTACCCTACTGTTGCTTTGCATTTACTGTCAGCTGTTAACAAGGTCAGGCGAATATTATTGCATTTTCTGCTTTGCTCGAACCTTGAGGGCAAGGTTCTTTTTGAGGCGGGAGGTATTATTGTGAACGTGAACAACCGAATAGAATGCTAGGACATTATATTTGGGATCTGGGGGGAATACAGGGCATGTGAATTATGTTGAAGCCTCGCTTCAGTCTGTTCTTCTCCTCTCCTCTGTTGAACCTGTTTCTCATCCTCTTTCTTCTTAGCTTTAGGTTGCAATTTCTCTTCTCATTTACTCTCTATTTTCTTTAGTGTTGTTTTCTACTATCGTATTGTTATTTGGTTATTGTAGTTTTATTGAGTTAATATAGTCAGTTGGTTTGGGTGTAATATCCAGTTGCTACAACTTCGCTCCTCCACTGTGAAATGTGAATTACTAAGATTATTTCACAGATCTAGTAAATTTCTTAAATATCATACCGAAGCAAAAGCTTGTTTGAAATTGGGATTAATTATACGGATGGTCATTAATTTTCATTTGATTGTATCAAAGTTATTATTTTTTTTAAATGAAAGAGTTCTCTCAACAAAGTAGCCATTGAAGAAAGCGGCTGTTGAATATTTGGTTTTTGACTTTTTTTTTTTAGGGCTTTACCCAGAAGGGGAGCCTTTTCAAAAATTCTCAACGGCCAAGGCAGAACCCAAGCCGAAGAGGGGGTTTGGAAATAGTTTTCAACCAGTAATAGACGCGCCTCGGTTTGAACCTCACTAGCTGCGTCATTGCTCCAAGCGCAAAGATTTGGTTTTTGACTAGTTGCCCAACTCCAACTTTACCAACTATAGCAGAAATTCATTAAAAAGGTTTTTTAACAAAAAAGTTATTCAAATTTGACCAACTATCATAGAAAGTAACTAGCGGTTGCAACACCTTGTTATGGGTAAATATAGTTGTCAACTTTATTTAATACTTAGATAACGTTGAGTGACCTTTTATTATAAAAATAATTTAGTCCACGAGCTCGACAGATCAGACACTGAGGCCTCATTTATTTTTTTGTTTTTAAAAATTAAGATGTCTGAATCTGAATACACATCTGAATATCAAGATGTGTATTAAGATTAAGACATCTGAATCTGAATACACATCTGAATATATTAAGATGTGTATTAAGATCTGAATAGAAATAATTAAGACTGTTTGATTTTTAACATATGAATGTATAAAATTTATCTTTATTTGAAAATTAGTAAACATAAAATTCAAATGAAATACTAACTAATCTAATATTCTATCAATAAAATATATAGTTTTTTAAAATATGATAGTTGTCGGTGGTGATAGCTAACGGGTGAATGCCAACTAGAGGCGGTGGTTGGTGGTAGTTTTGGTTGATGATGGTGGTTCATGCTAGTAGCTAGTAGTGATTGGTAGTGGTGGCGATTATGATTGAGGATGGTGGTGGTGGGTGGCGATAGTTAATAATATCAGGTGGTGGTAGTAGTTGTGATTGAGGAAGATGGTGGGTGGGTGGTGGTAGGTCATAATGATGGGCAGTGCCGACTGTGGTTATTGATGGTGATGGGGTGGTCAGTCGTGGAAGTTGAGGCGGATGAGTGTTGATTGTGGGTGAGAATGATGGTGGTCGGAGTGGTGGGGATGGTCGATAATGGAGGCTATGATTGAGGATGACAGTGGCGTGGTGGTGGTGGTGGGTGGGGGTGGCGGTGGTGGTGGTTGAGTATGGTGGTGGTGGTGGCATGGTGGTAGTTGATAATGGTAGGCGGTGGAGGTGGCGGCAGTTAATAATGAATATGTGATAGTATCTTAATGAAATTAAGTCTATGTTATAGATCTTAATCATACAGACCTACTCAGACCCATTAAGTGGTAGTGAAGTAAAAAAACACACTTAATGATCAAGATCTGAATAATTAAGATTCAGACTTTAAAAATAAACGCACTTAATATCTGAGATCTGAATGATTAAGATTCAGACCTCCACTAAGTGCAAACAAATAAGGCATGAAGAAGAGAAAGAATGATCAATCTCCTAAAATCCTTTGCAGAGCTGAGCTTTAAGAGGAATACTTTCTGTAAGTCTGCACATAAAAAGTCAAATTTTTCTCGTAGGCTTAATTTACTGAAATTATTTTTAGAAGGTTCAGATGACCAAGAATTTCAGATGGGAGATCAATGTCCACGAGACCTACAAAATATTTTAGACAAATTAAAGGAGGCTAGGAGATATTCACAAAAAGAACACTGGGATAATTATGAATTTTTATCAATATCAGGATAGATACATATCTCATATACGCTATAGGTGTGAGATCGGGTACAATAATAAGTTAGACAGAAATGAATCACTCAATTCCTCTATAAGAAAAGGGAGAGAAAAAGTTTGTAAGTTGATTACGTTTTCCTTTGATCACAATTTTTTAATTAATTTTATCAGTAAAAAATTATGATTTACCTTACCCTACTAAATGAAAATCACATATAGGGAGTTAAAATGTACACGTATTAAATTTCCTCATTCTTAAAGAATAAAGAAACTCAAAATAGCACTTTTCGACAATCCGAGAGAGAAAGAAGCAAGATTACAGGAAACACACAAGGCATCTATAAACGGAAGTATTTTTCTACTGTTGCAACGTTAATAGCTGAACGATATGCTCATCAGTTTAAGAGGCAAAGCTGTAGCTGTATCCACATTTCAGGTTCAGGGTTTCAAATCCCAATTCGTTTATTCAACAAGCGCTACACCTGCCCCGACCCATTTCTTGGTGAAATACCTGGTTGATTCTCTAGGATTTTCCAAACAAGAAGCAACCTCTACATCTTCCAAGGTAACTTCATTAAAAACCTTTAAGAATCCCGATTTAGTCCTCAATTTCTTCGTACAAAGTGGTTTGGACAATACCCAGATTAAAAGAATAGTTTCTAGAGAACCCACATTGCTATTACGTGATGTTTCCAAAATCCTAAAACCCAAATTCCAGTGCCTTATGGATCTTGGGTTATTCGGGTCGGACCTGGTGAATGTAATTGCTAAAGATACAACAATTTTTGATCGAGGTTTAGATACTCATTTGAGACCTACCATTGATTGTCTTAGGAAAACCTTGGGCACTAATGAAAATGTAGTTAAGGCTATAAAGAAAACTCCTTGGTTGCTTTCTTTTGGTGCTCATCATACTATTGAGGCTAATGTATTATTGTTGAAAAAAGGTGGTGTTTCTGATGTGAAGCTAAAAACACTTGTGCTTAGAAATCCTAGGTATATTATCCAAAAGACTGAGTGGGTTAAGGATTTGTTGCATAGGATGGAGAAGGATTTCCGAGTTCCGCTTCACTCTCCTATTTTTCCTTACGGATTTCATACGTTAGCCTGTCAAAGGAAGTCCACATTGGAAAGAAAGATTGGAATTTTCAAGAGTTTTGGATGGTCTGATAATGATATACTCGAGATGTTCCGGAAGCTACCGCTTTGTTTTACTCAGTCAGAGGTTAGAATTAAGAAAGCATTGAACCTTTACATGAAGGAGCTTGGTTCCGGACCTGCTTACTTAGCTTCTCATCCTGCAATTTTGGTCTATAGTCTGGAAAAAAGGGTGGTACCTCGGATGCAAGTCTTGAAAATTTTGGATGAAAAGAAGCTTAAGAGGAGAAAGTGGAGTCTTTATCCTGTGCTGATGTTAACAGAGTCAAAGTTCATAGAGTATTTTGTGCTGCCCTACAAGGATCAGATGCCTGATCTGTATGAACCACACATGAAAACTGTGGCTCCTTAACAGTTATGGTCAGTGTTAACAAGAGTCATTTCTGTCCCAATAAAGCAAACATATCATTACAGTATTGTTTGTCATTTCAGTTTATTTTTCTTTCCAGTGACTACGTGTTTTCCAGAGAAAGGCACCAATATAAGTATCTCTAGTATTTGATAAACATCTAGCTAGCTCATAAACATCTCTCTTTATGTCTTAAATACCTTACTTCATTAGAAAAAGTGTCTCTCTTTATATCTTGTTGCTTTCAGTTCACATTTGGATTACTCAATGGTGTACCTAGTATGTTAGTTTTGAAAAAATGAGAGGTTCTATATTTCCATTAAGTAGAAAAGCAAGTGAATTAACTATTGTAGGAATTACTATTTTACCATGATGATATATGCCAGGTATAACTCTCTACCCCACCAGGGTAGGGGTAAGGTCTGCGTACACACTACCCTCCCCAGACCCCACTTGTAGTATTATACTGTGTGATGGTGGTGTTGTTGATACATGCCAGGTATCAGGACATAATGCACACAGTGGTCAATGCTTTTGGCATTTCGTGATTGTATCTCGGGCATGTTCTTCTATGGAGTTTATGTCTCTGCTTAGATTAGTGAGACAGTTTTAGGGAAGAAGTTTTCATATTCAGGAGTTAACTAGGATATAATTACCATGGTTCAGAATGTACCTTGTTGTTTAACTCTCAGAGGCTACAAGCCTACAATCAAGAGGAAGTTAGATTTTCTTATGAAGGATTTGGGATTAAAATCGTAGAGCTTGGCTTCTGCTTCCCTTTTATCATAAAATGTTGGACTAGAAGTTGGGTATGAGAGAACATTGTCACTATCAAGTTCTCCGGTTAAGAGAATAAAAGTCTGTAGAGCAATTTGTGCTGCCTTACAGCAATCAGATTCTCAATTTGTATCTCAAACAAGAAAATAGTGAAAAATACGTATTTTGAGGAACTTTTTTTTGCTATTAGGTGCGAAACTTTATATCTTTGTCTTTCAGATTCACTTTGGTTGTTGAATATTTTTGCTCCAACTCATCTCTTCAATACTGAATAATGCATATATGTAGTCAAGAGATTAATGAAAAACATTTTCACATTTAAGTCAATGATCTCTTGAGTTTGACTGATTGCTATACATATCATATAGTGAAGAAACAACTTTTGAAAAACGACTTACCTGACTCATTTGTGTTGCTTGTTCGTTTCTCAGTTTCTTGCCTATGGAATAGTTTACATAGCGCCAACTGTCATTTACTCAACTCCACACCGTTGGTTGAGCACCGTGGAATTACTTGTTCTGTACTACACTTTGGCTAACAGTTTGGTGCCTAGGTATGAGGTCATTAACGTCTTGAATAATAAAAAGTTTGCTGCCTGGATTAAGTTGAATCTCTGCACTGATATGTGCTTTTGTCTGAATCAAAGTTTAGTGTGAAATTCATTCTTTTCCCAGAGAAAGAAGATGTTTGGTCGGATCAATTGGTCTTCTGGCCCATTACAAATTTGTTTTATGCCAAATATCCCAAAAGAACTGAATATGAAATGCAAGAGATCTAGTTTCTTCTATTTAAATTGTAAAGGGTTATGTTAAACCATTTTCGCTCATATTATATGTGGAGCCATTTGAAATCATCATACTTGTATTGATTAATCTGTGCTATACTTTCATCTATCACGGTAGGGTTGTCTTTTGGATTCTATACTGCTATATACTGACCTTGTTCAAGCTGTCTTTTTGAACTAAAAGTACCATATTTATATGTGGAAAATATCATATTTAATGTGTTTTAGCTCTGTACAGCAAAAGGCATGTTCAAATTTTGCAAATTACACCATGGGTCTCACTAGTCAGCAAATTTCTTGGCTAGTCGCCACAAAGTATTTTTTCTGCAAGAGCCTTAACGGAGAACAACATAGGTCCCTCCTTCTTAACATTACTTCTGAATATGCTATTGTTTTCGTCTTGTTATAGTTATTCAAAGGTAGCTCTGGCTATTTCTTTGCTTTAGTGAGAGAGAAATGAGAGATGCCTCCTGAGCATCTTTAACCATTAATGCTCTCTCTTTAGCTTTCTTAGATCCAGCCTAAAAGAACAGTTTCTTCTGTATTCATTTGATCTCTTCAGTATTTCAAGAGAAAGTATTACTTTTTTTCTTCTATACAACAACAACAACCCAGTGAAATCCCATATGCGGGATCTGAGGAGGGTGATGTGTACGCAGTCCTTACCTCTACCTTGAAAAAGTAGAGAGGCTGTTTCCGATAGACCCTCGTCTCGAAAAGGATACAAAAGTAAAGCAGATAAAAGGCTCAGGAAAGGTAAAAGCAAGCAATAACAATAAGCAGCATTACGAGCAACGCAAACAGAAAACTAAAACGCAAGAATCGACAAGTAATAGCATAAATCTGAGAACAAGAAATACAAGATTAGAACTAAATAGTGCACTAGATCTACAGGTACGAAGAAGACGCTCGGCTACCTAAACATCTACCCTAATTCTCGACCTCCGCACCTTCCTATCAAGGATCATGTCTTCGATGAGCTAGAGCATCGCCATATATTGTGTAATCACATCTCCCCAATACTTCTTCGGTCTACCCCTATCTCTCCTTATGCCCTCCATGACCAACCTCTCACACCCTCCATGACGAACCTCTTAAGCCCTCCATGACCAACCTCTCACACTTCGAGCATCATCGCCTCTCCTCTTCACATGTTCGAACCATCTAAGTCTCGCTTCTCGCATCTTGTTCTTCACAGGAGCCACTCCCATCTTGTCCCGAATCTTAATTTCTAATCCTATCCAGCCTTGTGTGCCTGCACATCCATTTCAACATCCTCATTTCAGCCACTTTCATCTTCTGGACATGTGAGTTCTTGACTGGCCAGCACTCAGCCACATACAACATAGTCAGTCAGACCACCGCTCTGTAGAACTTACCTTTAAGTTTTGGTAGCACATTCTTATCACATAAAACACTGGAAGCGAGCCTCTATTTCATCCACCCCGCCCTAATACGATGTGTGACATCCTCATCAATCTCCTCATTCCCCTGTATAATTGACCCAAGGTACTTGAAACTATCTCTCCTAGGGATGACTTGTGAATCCAACCTCACATCCCCGTCAACTTCCTAATTCGCACCCATTAAACTCGCATTTCAGATATTTTGTCTTGGTCCTGCTCAGCTTGAACCCTTTAGACTCTAGGGCCTGCCTCCATATCTTTAGCCTTGCGTTAACACCGTCTCGCGTCTCATCAATCAGAACAATATCATCTGCAAATAACATGCACCGCGACACCTCCCTTTGAATGAGGCGTGTCAACACGTCCATAGCCAATGCTATTTCTTTCTTCTATCTCATCTGGATTTCATCTTGTACTATAGTTTTTTTGCTAATCTAATAGTAATTTAAAAGATGTTATTGCAGTTTTTTCTAAAGTTCTACGTTCACCACTGATATACGTCTGAAAAAATTTACTGAAACCTATAAGCTTCAGCCGTATTATCTGTGGTGTGAGTTTGGAAGTCGCATAACTAATAGCCCGTTTGGCCAAGCTGCAAAAATCAACTTATTTTGAGAAGTGTTTTTTTTTTCAAAAGTGCTTTTCTCAAAAGTACTTTTGGTGAGAAGCAGTTTGTGTTTGGCTAGTTAGTTTGAAAAGCACTTCTGAGCAGCAATTAGTGTTTGGCCAAGCTTTAAAAAACTGTTTCTAAGTGTATTTTTCTCAAAAGTGCTTCTCAAAAAAGTGCTTTTGGAGAGAAGTTACTTTTTTCTGCTTCTCCAAAACTGCTTCTGCTTCTCCTCAAAAACACTTTTTTTTCCTTCCAAAAGCTCGGCAAAACAGCTTAATTTTTGGCCAAAAGTTCTTTTGGCAAAAAAAAAAATACTTTTGGCCAAAAAAAAGCTTGGCCAAACAGGCTATAAGTCCGGCAGAAATAGAAACCCAAGAGAAATAATTTAATACCCCTAACTATTCTACAAATTGGCCGGTTATATGATTTGAATCTATGACATCTACTAGCTAAAAAAAAATAATATGACATCTTGTTTTTAGGAGACCCACGTTCTATATGCTTCTTCTATAATACATAAGAATCCAAGCTACATGGTGTGGCAGATTTCATTTTATGAGTGTAACTTGATTGTTTGTATAAAAGAATTTTATATTAGGAGGTTACATAAAGGATAAACTATTCATAAAGTAAAATTAGTAACGTGAAAATAACACGTGTTACCTGTTCAGACATAAATATATATTGATACCTTGAAAAAAATCGGCAGTGACTGGAAATTAAATCCTAATTTACATTGTCAAATTGTACATTTCACTTTTGTTCTTTTTTCCGTATGACTTCTATGATCGGGCCAATTTAATATAGCACTATAGCAAAGGTTGATACCTTATTTATTTTAAATAAATACTCTTTTAAAAATTATATTCCATAACTACCTTTTGATTTTTATAGCCAAATATCTATTTATGGTCACCTCCTACTCTTAAGCCATAAAATACGCATTGTATTATTTTTCTCTTTCATTCTTTCAGATTTTTCTCCACCCTCTCTCTCTCAACTCCAGTCTTTCTCCATGAATACAACCACAATTCTCCCAAATACAGATCGAAACGGGAATGAGAGAGAAAAATTGAGGAAAGCATTTAATGCCAGAAAATTGTTTGCTGCTCGAATCGAAGCGTGAGAGTTCTAGGGTTCTGCGTCTTCCTCTTCTCTTCAGATTATATTACTAATCTGGTATTTAGAAACAAAACTCTATATAAATCTCCGTCTTCTTCTTCTCTTTCGTCGTTCTAGGGTTCTACCCAATCTGGGGTTTTTCGTCCCAATCCACAAGCGCCATTCAATTCAATTGTAAAGAATAGGTTTTTTGAAGCGCACGTGAGGGTATTATGGTAACAGGAACAGTGGCGTTTTGAGTCAGAATCGCGACCCTCTCGACGAGACGACATTAGGGTTGTTCTTGAACAAAGACGACGGAGTTTTGGGGCTGAGCAACTTGAATTTTCTGTTAATATATTTCAATGTATTTCAATGTATCTCTCGTTGTATTTTCATGTATTTCATTGTATTCATTGTCTTTTTTTTCCATTGTATTTCAATGTATCTCGCTGTATTCCATGTATTTTATTGTATTCATTGTCTCGTTCTATTCCATGAATGTATTCAGATGTATATATGTATTCAAATTGCTCTGTTTTTGTTGTATTTATCGGCTGGGAAAAATATTCAGCATATTTTCTTTGAAGATTGCTATATTTTTGGGGTGTTTTTCGGTTGAGAATCTTTTTTATAACTGGAAATACAAATTTTGTGTGTTATAATTGAGTTTGTTGAGTTATATTAGGAGTCTATTATGTTAATTGATTCACTTTCCCTTTAAAAACAGTTGTAATCCCCTATTTCACGCCGTGAATACAGTCGAATACAGTCGAATACAAAAATTTGTCTAGCTGTAATCCCCTGTTTCACGCCTAGAAATGCTATTGTATTCATGAATACAGTAGCTTAAATCATCGAATACACTCTAAAAAACCCGAAAACATAGCTATAGGAAGTAATATAGTAAATGGTAGCTATAACTAGCTAATAACCACTAAAACATAGTGGTTTCTGAAAGTTTCTCTTTATTTTATTGTAATTTTATGTTTATTCATTCATTGAGAAAACTACCCTCTATAGCCTCTCAAAATTTTAATAGCCCATGTTTTTGCCTATTGACACAAAATAGCCCCCCGGCCCAAACATATTACATCTAATAGCCCGAAATGGCTTTTTTGTATAGTGACAGTCTATTTTGTATATTTGTTGTATAGTGACATTCTATTTTATATAGTGACAATATATTTTGTATATTTTATTGTATAGTGACAGTCTATTTAGTATATTTTTGTATAGTCTATTTTGTATAGTGACAGTCTATTTAGTATATTTTTTATATAATGACAGTCTATTTTTGTATATAATTTGTATATGGACAGTCTATTGTATATAAATTATATAGTGACAATCTATTTTGTATAATTCCCTTACACTTTCATGTTTGCCCATTAGAGACCCATTAAATCTCGTGAACACAAACTCCAGACAAATACGACAGAATTCTCAACCCATGCGGCCCACAATCCAAAAAAAAAATTTAAGTTCTAAAAATTAATATAATTACATATAAATTTTAACCACTTCCGTTAGTGTAAAGATTGGTGGTTAAAATTTGCTAAAGAGCAAGAGTTATCCAACAACGACGAGTTAGTATATTGAAGCATACTCTCATTTCATAAGCATCACATTCAAATAATTCCATTAAGGAATTTCGTCGAGCAACTCCGAGGCATGACAATGAAGACCGCTCAAAGTGTACAAAATAACACTCACCAAAACAGTAGGTAGCTATCAACCTAAGACTACAACAACAACAACAACAACAATCCAGTAAAATCCCACATAGTGGGGTCTGGGGAGGGTAATGTGTACGCAGACCTTACCCCTGCCCCGATAGGGCAGAGAGGCTATTTCCGATAGACCCTCGGCTCAGAAAGATAGAAATAAAAAATAAGAAAAGAGAATTCATTAGTAACTCCAGTAGAAACCGTTATAGTGGCAGAAGCATAAAAACCAAAAGATGAATGACATGCAATAACAGTAACCATA